TGGTTGACTTCCTAAAACAACCGCGCTTCGCATAATTTACGAGCACTTTGTTTTCCGATGTACATGAGGCTTGATTCACCTCGGGCGCTGTATTTCGATGTAGCAGTATGCTTTGGTAATTTTTTAACAGTAATTGAATTACTATTACTTTGCTTCTTGCCTACTTGTATTCATTACCTTAACTAGAAGTAGTGGAAGTTCAAATTTCGTTATTTTTTTTCAGCTATCGCAAAAAGTATGAGAGTTACAGGTACCTTTTATGATTTTTTTCAGTCTAGAGTTCTATCCTAAACTCAATTTCACGAACATCTGTAGAGGCTGACAAAGACACGGGTGCAAGTTCGTGGCTTTGGAAAGCACTTATGCGCGAGTCATGGCATGAGCAAAGCTGTTGAACTAAGGTGCCCGTATGTTATTTGCACTTCAGGTTGTTCGTTTCATTTTTTATGATGCCCATCAATGCCCCTGATGTACATCGCAAGACAAGCAACAAAGAGCACATCAAGCATTTTAACACTATACCTGCTGCTTCAGCGAAGATTTTCGGAAATCTTTAAGAATATGCTGCATCAGATATAAAGAAACTCGTTTTGGGAACGAACTTCTGGCTACACATACGTCAGGGGTTGCGCAACCATACTAATTACCTAACACATTAAAAAAAATTACCATACAACTTTTTGAATGCTCAGTTTGGTGGCCAGTACAAATGCGAAGTTTCATGCTGCGGGCAGAACAATCCCGTTTTTGGAAGGGACCATAACATTATTTTGGGTTCTGATAAGTGTTTTAGATGGGTATTTGACTAATCTTATGTCATTCAGTGGGTAAAAAGTGTTCGTTTCGGTACAAAAATCATGAGTCATTCCACTCTGTGAAGGTAGATGACAAGCAGAGTTGTTCAGCACACGACACAGACATGACAGATTTTTGAACAAATGTACGAACACATTTATTGTCTTGATCCGTGGTCATCGTGACGAAACGTACGAAAACATAAGGAGGACTGTCTCCACCCCGAGGAGCCGGAGAAAACTAGACACGCGCGACAGAACTGCCGCCCGGCAGAAGGAAAGGAAACTAGGCACTCAAGCGGCTTGGAGCGACGACAAAGAGAGGGCGGTGCGAGCCCGCTCTGAGTTTTTGTTTACGCACATGAAAAATCCACGGAACCCTAGCTTCGCTGTAAAAGTTGGAAAATATAGCGGACTATTTCTTGCCTCCTTTCCATCGCAAGCCCTCCGCCTATTTACTGTGATGCATCCGCTGTGATCAAGCACGTCAGCCGAACCCAGCTCACGTATTGAACACAAGCACTGCGTCACTCGAACGTCTGCGCTCGTAAACGATCAATCCGTCGACGAATATTTGGATTCTCGTTCGTGGCCAATGAGTGCCGTGACGGCACTTATCATCCCTTGAGAGTGACAGGTTCCATCGCATGCTTAAAAAGCACGGTAAAAGCTTGGACTCGTCGCATCCGTTAAAATATTACGTCACGACCACATGATTTTTCATTTCGCGTTTGAGTTGGGAAGAAACACTAAGGAGGAAGAAGTTGAAAAATCATTTTATGGTTCCTTTAAAACGGAGGAAGAGTCCTTCTAAGCATCGCATCGTAATATAAAAAATCTAAAGCTTTTTTTTTTTTTTGTATGGGGGGGGGGGGGGGGGATTAAAATAGCGCTTGAGAAGCCCACGAAACAACGCACGAAGAAAACTGCCCCAGCACGCGACAGGCCCTTGCTTTCGCCGCTTTACTCGATGCTTAACTGTGCTAGGGCACGCACTGCCAAGGTAAAGCGGAGAACCTGTCAAAAGCACAGCAATCACTGAGCTGCACATGGGATTCGACTTATTTATTTATTTATTTTAATTAGAAATTTCGCGGGGAGCAGCGCGGCCCGAGCAAGGGAGGATCACAAGAGGCGTGGTAACATAGTCTTCGAACGGATGAGAACAGCGGGGCGTTTCTCTCGAATGGCAGTCGCCAGCACACTCTCGTTGCCTTCCACCGTGCTTTGACTGCGCGAGCACGCTCGAGGCTCGCGAGACGCCGAAGCGTTATCGAAGGTAGGACGCTCCCGCAGGAAGCGGGACAACTGAAACTCCTCCATGCCGTTCTCATTCGAGCGTCTTGTGTGCATTCACCAAGCAACGACGATGAGATGCCTGGTATAAAGCGAGAGTACTTTTCATGTTCTGGATGAAGAGGGTGAATCAAAATGATACGATTCTGATGTGTACGTTCTGTACCTTATGACGACTACAGTCGACCATTTTCAGAATTTACTAGAAGTTTGAGCCGCCGTTAGATTCGGTGATTACTGACACTGATAGACCACTTTGGCTTTGTACTCCTATGATCAGAGCCAAAGTGGCTTTGATCACATGAGTTCAAAGCCAAAGCTAGGGGGCCATAGTACAGGGGGCTAGTCGTAACGATGAGCGGGTTAATTATGTAGAATCCGCTAATTAGCTTTTGAATGAGTGAAAATAGGCATAGGGTTCCAATGAAAAACTTGCTGAACGTCAACATAAAGCACTAAATCGGTAATTTTCAGAAAAACTGAGCACGTGAGAAGCGCAGTAGTTCGCTAAATTTAACACTTCTGCCGCAGGAGTAAGGCCGCCGGTGCGCTAACGCGCAAACGTAGTTTTTTTCGTTCCTTATCATAGCCTTTTGCACTCGTGGTACCTTTAACGCACTCGTACGCTTCCCACGTGCTCCAAGTATTTCTAAAAAAGTTGTTGATCTTGTGGATTTCGATGACGCTCAGCAGGTTTCTAATTGGAACCATTCGTCTATTTTCAATATTTAAAAAGGTAATTAAAAACTTAATTAGCCGGCTGATCGTTACGATCAGCTTCCTCTACTAAGTCCCTCTAGCCGTATAACTCACCTGCTCAAACAGCATACGTGTAGCTCCCAAGGCTTTTTTTTTTTTTTTTTTTAATTCTGCGATACTTAAAAAAAAAAAAAAAAACTTTGTTTAGGTGCATCTTAGATTAGCTTTGTGTTATTTTATCAAGACCTACATGTCTCAAACGATTTGTATCTTTCTTCGAAGACCAAACTTTGTAAGAACTACCTCGCTCAGTGCATGAACGTTGCTCGAAACGTCCTTTTTCTTGGTGCAACAAGTGACTACTACCTTTAAGCTTAAATCTCTGGGAAGAAAAATTAATTGGGGGATAATAAGGCAAGTAGTGTTGAATATAAAATTGTTTTGTAAAGAAAGCCTCGTGTTTCATGGTACAAGTATGGTACAAGTGTGTTAAAGCCCTAAACATTTTCAAAGTTACTTTATTTTGGTGCCGAAAAAAAATAGGTTCCGCCAGAAATCATGAACCATACTATATTTAGTGAGTGCCGAAAAATCTACTCAATTTTATTGTTGTTTGTGCGTGTGTATTTCAGAACGTACTACTCGTGGAGCGACCACAGGTTAGAGTGCACTGGAGCGAATGGGCAGCACAAACTCTGTAACGTGGAGGTGAGTACCATTCATTTGCGAGCAGGTAAATTTTCCGTGTAACGTGAATACATCAGTGGGTTGTTTGATGCGTGCGCATGCTCCTCAGGCTGGGAGCAGAGCCATGTATGGAAAAAGTCAGGTCAATCATTGCAATGATCGACATGAATATAGGATAAGACCGAATATGCTAAACGCTGATTGTTCAGTGAGTGCGCATCCTCTGTAAAATATAAGTAGGATTCCGTATTTATGGAGTTCACATATCGTGGAATTCCGGGGGTGTTTTAAGTTTTTTTTTTCCCGAAAATTTAGAGTTCATTGAACTTTAATTAATATTGATGCAGGATTCACCAAAATTCAAAGTTTAACCTTACTGCGTTTCTTATTCTTCGTAATTCAATATAAAAACAAATATCCCGACACCAACCTCCCTTAAATTATTAAGGACTCGCCTGCCTCGGATAATGTTTCTTCAGCTGGACTGGGCTTTCGCTCCCTTGCCAATGGTAGCACTGACTGAGAGCAAAACTTCCAAACAAGTGTGTAATTTAAAATCGCAGAAATCGTTGAACTAGTCTCCGTAAAGCTCCCTTTCTTCTCATCCCTTTCCAACGCTCCACCCTGCCACTGCGCGAAGTGGACTGAGTGGCGAGATAAAAGCTTTATCCCCCCCCCCCCCCCCCCCGTTTTTTTTCTCCCGTGATCATTTTTCGCTGTTATAAAAAAAAAAAAAAAAAAACATATCCACTTCTTTTAAAAAGTCCACACAAAAAAACTTGGACAGTTATTTTCATCGTGACCCAAAATTACAATAACCGGTTGTCCTGAACAAAACTTCACGAGATAAACGGTAAACCGTCTTTTGTCAATAATCCAAGATTTAAAAAGAAACAGGAGTCGTCTTTCCTCAGGTTCATTGACCCTGTGCTCCTTCCAAGCTTATCTATAGAATGCTGTTATTTTCGTTGGTTTTCTCGCCATCTTGACATCGAAGTTCGGACTTTTCCGGATAAATCCGAATTGAAGAAATTGTAACCAGAGAGATTTTTTTTTTTTTTTAGATTTTATCAGATTTATTCGAAACCATGGAATCCTAATTATAAGTCAGGAATGTTCCCTAGCGGTGGTAGGGGGCCAAAAATGTAAGCCCCAACTGGTTGCCCTGTTTTATAACGCTGGGGTTTAAAGTTATACCCGGTGGTAGTCTAAAAGGAGGTGCTATAGTCTCTATTGAATGAGGGAAGAAACAAATTCAACGTACGCCTGCTGGCCTGCCCGTTAAGCTTGTTTTTTCATATATATTTTTATATAAGTTGACGTTACAGGTTTGGTTATATTACTTCTCCGGTTGTGAAAACTGTTCAGGTTATATTTATTTCCTTCTGTAACAGCAAGACAAACGTGTGGCTCCAAAGGCGGCGGCACCGGCTCCGCCGCTGCTTTGTGAATATGCATATTGAAGCAGAAGGCTACTGGTATGCAGGTGTCTGACTGTGCAAAGTATTGTCTGCCCACAGGAGTGCCCTCCTGGCAGCAGTGGTTACACGGACCAGCAGTGCTCGGCTTTTAACGATCGCCTCGTCGCCGGTCGTCGTTCTGTCAAGTGGCTCGCCGTCGAGGAACACCCGCAGAGTAAAGGTTTCTTTTTTTGTCCACTATTTGCTGGAAGATTTGACTGGCACACGCACTGCGGAAAAGAGGGATACTACGGCTCTGCCTTACACTTAAGAAGACACTTCACTACCTCAAGAATATTTTTTAATCACGTGATAGTTACAAAGTGAACTTAATTTTGAACAACATTTCAGCTCTACTCTTTTGTCGCTAGACACATTTTTTACAGAAAGGATGCTCCGTGAGCGAAATCAAAACTGTTCCAGGTACCAATCAGTAAACTTGCTTCTACATTGAGAGTAACTTTGAGAGGCAAGAGATTGTGTCCCTATCCTAGGCTGGGCATGCTAACCTGTGGGCCGTGTTCTTCGCTTGACGTGCGAGCACAAATAGCCAGATGGTTAATAGGAAAGGATGTACAAACATGTCCCAAGTATAGGTGGTGCTCGGTGGATAACGCGTAGTCGTTTTTTTGTTTAGAGCGTATGCTCAGATACAAACTCTCACGTGTCTTCTCCTCGGGCTAAAACATCTATACGTGTAGTCTAAAATCGTTGACGGCGCTCAACACGCGCTTAGCAGCAACGGGTTTAGTCTTGACTGCCAGTTATTGCCAAACATTCACAGTTAAAACATGGCTTGTACCCGATGTGTGCTGGCACATGCATCAGCGCCTGTATGTAGCTTTGGCAGGATTGAAGTTTTTGAGCGATTCACCCTCACGAGCAGAGACAGGCACTAAGAGTTGGGATCACATCACAGTTAGAAGTATTGAGAGATCACCGGAACTCATCTTCTAACAGAGAATGTGTTTTTTTCAGACGACTTCCTTGAAGCTCTGAAACATTTTGATGTAACGCCCGTCTGTAATGGCTGATTGTAACGACACCAAGAAGCATTGCGCCCAAAGGGCACTATATGGAAAGACTTCAGTCCCGCGGCAGGACTTGGACTCCCCACCTTGAGATTATGAACCAGCTGCTTTGCCGACTGGGATTTTCAGGGAAGGCGAAGTCATTCGCCGTGTACGCTTACGCGCGGTCGCGCTCCTCGCGGCCTTTGCTGCCGCTTTTGCCATCTCTCTGTGCGTGTAGGAAACGAAATCAAATGTTTGTTAAGCGTTGCGTTCAGGTGCCTCTCCCTTCTCCCTGAAAGACGTATTATACGCTTTGTGCTTGCATACTTTTGTTCATTTTCGCAAATAGAAGTTTGGTATCAAAATGGCTATGGTGATTAGATGTGCGGTACCAACATACACGGCAAACTTTGGTATACGATGCTACCCTTGATTTCCAAAGTTCCGAAAGTGCGACAATATTGTGTTCGCTCTTGCTGCGCCGCACAAAGCACGAGTTCTCTTCAAACGTAACGCCGCTGCAAGACTGTCAACTTTTGGCCCTTTTTCGTGCTATTTCTGGGCCTACTGGTCGAACCGCCTGTTAAAGTTTGGACTCCCCAATATAAAAAAACAGCCTGGAAAAGACATTTCAGCTAAAGCAGTGACCTATTTAACTTTGAATAGCCGGCAATTTTTTTTAGTAACCGATGAGATATAATTATACTAGGCAATTATTTGTTGTCGAGATGTAAGAACGTTGAGCTTGGTTTTCCCGGCAACTCAGCGTCAATCGACACTCGAGAAAAGTAGATTCTAGCTTCAAAAACATTTCAACCTGCTCCACTTCCACATAAAGTGCATTTTTAGCTTGACTAAAGCTTTGTTGTCTGTTCAGGTCGAAATCCCTGCGAGCTGCGGTGCCGGTCGCATGATTCAACGATGACCCTGAGCTTCGGCAAGATGGCGAACGGCACTCGTTGCGGCCAGTCTAGCGTCTGTATCAACGGACGCTGCGTTGTAAGTTGTTTATTTTATGTCAACGTCACAACACTTCACGGTATATGCAATATAACACAACTTGTCTGCGAGCCATCGGGTGTACATGCACGTAGTGCTTGCGACATATTTTTTTGACAAAAACAATAGCTGTGTTCTTTATCAGGCCACATTATGTCGGAAATCTGACTAACGCTGTGAAAAAAATACTGCTATCACATTGCGCCTTTCTAAGGCAAAGCCCTAGAAAGTGCTTCCAATCCTCCACCCACCATTGGGTGGGGGCACGAATGATATTCTTAAGAATTATCGTGGACAGGACAAAAGGCAAAGTTTCGCAACAGGCTACATTGTATCAAGCTCCTGACATGCGTGGCCGGATTATTTCTGCTCTCATGGAAGCCTTTCTGAGGTTTAACCCTACGGAGGGCTCCTAAAGCTCCACTACCATCACTGTCGTCGGCTGTGTTCACTGCAACCTAAGCTTGATTCAGTCAGCTCTGCCGGCAGCATTAACTAGCTGAAACGACACCGAAAACAAGATCACTACGTGCCGTACACCTACAGGCAACCACCCTAAGGAACAGTCACAATAAGCAGTCGCAATTTTATTAAATACTTTTTTATATTTCTCCACCACTTAGTTGTTCTTTCCAATAGACTTGATCAAACTGTGTACAAGGGCTGATTGATACAGGTATACCAATCATGATTTCCGTGCTTCGTAGGTTTGCATCTCTTTCGTTGCAGCAAATGTAACGCACGCAAGTATTTAACGCCCTGAAACGAAGGGCTCTCATTACACGAGCTCGTTGCCGGTGCTTTTCTTGCAGGTAGTTGGCTGTGACGGTCTGGTCGGATCGACGGTGCGAGCCGACATGTGCGGAGTCTGTGGTGGCCGGAATTTCTCCTGCGTGCAGGTGCAACAGATGTATTCTTCGAAGAAAGGTGAACTACTTCCTCAAAACTCAACTTACAGGGCCCGATAACTTCCGCAGGCTCTGTGAAGCACTCCCTGCTATGGCGGCATGAGCTCTTCTTTGTTGCTTTTCTTCCTGTGTACATTGGCCCTCATTTATATGGACTCTGAAGTTTCGGTAAAGTGATAAATTGACTTGATTTATATTTTTGACTCGGCATGTTTTACGTAGTCCTACTAGTACACCTAGTACTGTGATTAGGTTATTTTTCTTTTTCGTGTGTGTGACAAGTGTCAGTCTTTTGTTGAATGGAGCAGTCGTCTGCAGTACCTTGTGTTCATGAACTTTGTTTGATACCTGCTGGTAATACGTAAGCATAAACAAGGTAGATAACCGGGTCTACTTTCCATGTCCGCCAGCAGTGTTTGTTTCTTGTAGCTTTGTGGAACTCGCAAGATGTCCGTATAGATCAGTCGAGCGAAACTTGCAGTGGGCTCGGTATCACATGGGTCATGGTCTATTTCTTGCCTTGCATTGTTACACCAGAATTATTTTCGTCGTTTTAAAATATATATATATACCTAATCTTCGCGAATTTCACGATTTGTCTACAATTCGCAAAAAATAGGTCCCGCGAACAATTCCATAAAATGTAAACACATTGGATTCTATATTGAGATCCTACCGCGTCACAAAAATGTAAACCCGCGCATTATTGCAAAAACACTTAGGCTTTTACCTAAATCGCGAAATATTGAGCCCGCGAAAAATTATTCGTTTAGAGTATACATTTCGAATATTATCGAGGTATTTTAAACGGGAAAACTTTTGTCAATGAAAGTACATGCCACTGTTGCAAGCATTCCCACGCGCTCAAACTTTTGTAGAGTTTAGTTACTTGTGGATTCAAGTTACTGTTAAATTTCGTGGATCACAGCAAAGACTGCAGATATAAGACTCTTGCATTAGCGCATTCCCTGTCGGAAATTTTACCAACTCTTCCTGGCCGCATCTGTGGTACTTCTTGCAGTTCACTTTAAGGTAAAAAAAACTGTTCAGTAACTCGGGTCTTTGAGTTTACGTAAATCTGGGCAGTAGCTCTGCCAGTGGAATAGGGCATGCACCAATGTCTTGGGCTTTGAAAAAAACAGTTCCCTACCCATGTGAAGTAAAATCATCTCTCGCCAAACATGTTTTCTCTTTAAACATATTTTTTATAATCTTGCGTGCTTAATACGTCACCGCCAAGTAGCAGGGGTTAAGAAATTGTGAAACATTTTGTCCTTTCTGGAATTACTCCGAAAACCCTTTTTCCGAGTTTTGACACTGGAGATAAATACGGTACGCTGAGGTTTAGATGATTTTGTAGCCTGTGGGGGAGTTTTGTCATCATAAGGTGAAACTTTTGCCCTTTCTTTCTTGACACTGGTCAGAGAGCTGGAGTACCTAATTGTGAACCTGTTGCGTTTCAGGCGAACTCTTCAATCTCACCGCTGTGACCGTGATTCCCAGTGGTGCCACCAGCATCTACATTGAGGAACACACCTTGAACACGCTTTGTAAGAAATTCTTGTGTCATCAGTCATCAATATGTATTACATCGACCGATCATTAGAACTGAAAAACAAAGGTGGCTATGCTAAAGTTATTTTATCATGCAGGTTTTTATACTTATTTCTTTACAAAAACACTAACAAACATGACGCTTTGTTATCATCTTTACATTTTTTAAAAGGTATTAAGCTAAAATTTGTTCAGGAACCATAATCCAGCCACTTTGTTTCAGGTATTCATGAAAACTAAGGTACACATAGATTACGTAGATTGAGTCTGTTCAGCATACAGATACCAGTTACATTGCGGCGTCGTACTCGGAGAAGTACGCTTTTGTCAAAGCGTATTAGTTTTCTCGCCGATGATTCAACTTTGGAAGTGTAAAGCGTTTTCTAGTGTGTAGCTCGAACAGGGCCGACCTCATCCCTTGAAGCTACATAGGAAGTACATTACATGAGGGGTACAAGAAGACAAATTTGATCAACAGGTAATTCTGAAGAAAACAGCTGAATAATTAGGAACATAGTGTATACAAATATCGACCACAACAAAATTTTAAAAGGAAGGAACACTACGTGGCGGTAACTAAACATGGTAATTATGAGCAGTTTGGGGGTGTGCATTTCAAAGATCTCTGAATTTATCGTGATTTGTTTCATTTACAATATTTGAGGAACAGAATTCTAGTTACTAATCGCAAGAGCCGGTGGGGAGTTTCTAAATTTATTAGTTTTCACTAATATCTTAATTTTTAGGTTATAGTCAAGGAGCGTGGAAATGTGTGATGGTGGTTGAAAGTAAAGGTCACGAAAAGAGAAGAAGAGAATATTTTGCGTAAGCTGACAAGACGGGAGAGACTGGTTTTTTAACAGAATGGGCACAAGTCGAGAGACAATTTTAGTGCAGATATGCTGGATTTTCCATAGTAATCATGTGATATGAAACGACTTGCCTTGTTTTAAACAATTTCTGTTTCTTTAATAAGTGAGGATTGATCAGGTCTAAAAATAAAGTTAGCTTAGTTTAATTTAGATCTTACAAAAGTTTTGTAGGCAGTTTAAGAGAACGTAGGGTGAAGTATAAGTTACGTTTAATATATCCCAAGGATCCACAAGCCCTAGCAACTATAGTCTTATTATAAGTATTGTAATTGATGTCGTCAGAAGATATTACACCTAGATATTTATAGTTTGACACTTTTTCAAGGGGCAGCATAATCAAGGAGTAGTTACGCGTGCTGGATTAAGCTGACCAGTGAATGTGAATAGGTTACCTTGGTTTAAGTTTACTTCCATTTGGAACGTATCGCACCACTTAGAAGATATATGCAAATCCTGCTGTAATAAGTCATCGGGGTTGCCAGTACCACGGTAAATAATAATACTAATAATAATATTCATAATAATAATAATAATAATAATAGTAATATTAATGTTTACTTCCGGCATAAGATGGTTGCGATCAGGGAAAAAATCTACCAGGTACAGCTTGACGGGTCCTTGACCGCCTGCAGAAAGCAGCAACAGAGCCGGGAAAACCAGTAATCAATAGAAAACAAAAAATATACAAAGATTGTCGCTATCAGAACATTGAAGCACAAATTTTTTTTTTTCATTGAGGCATGACGGACTGTAGAGATAAAATCATACAAAACTAGGCACAAACACTACAAAGAAAGGCAACTACCTCTAGCTGCTAAAGAAAAAGAATGATTTTACTTCTCTTTGGGATAACTTATCCCAATTCATACATTTAGACATACAAATTAAGTAGATGGGGGATAGTGTATTTAAGCATGTGTTTGCCATAGTTTGTTCTTAGTGTAGCCACCTCCCAACGTTCAAGACCACGGGTAGGGTAACTATGAACATTTTTTGATAAGTGTCCAAGATTTATTAAAACATTATTTCTTTAAGTTACTCTACTTTGAGGCTAGTGCTAAGCCTATAATCATATAATGTATGCACGTTTATAACGCGAAATTTCTGAAATAATAAGCCAGCTGGGTGAAAATCATACGAGGCGGCGGCTATAGCCCTCAATGTTTTTTTTTTTTTTTTTGCAATACATGTAACTTTTCTAGATTTGTTAAAGTTGTTCCCCAAACGAAATACCAATAATTTAGGTGAAAATAAAAGAGGATTATATATTTATAATTTAACGGTTGTCGGTAAAATATAACCATGACGATTTAACATGCCCACAATTTCGGATTGCTTTAGAATAAGAGAGATTATGTGACTTTTCCACGACATAGTTTCAGAGAAGGCGACACCTAAGAGTTTAGTTCCATTCACATTCTCGATTTTGGTTGAATTCAAGAATATGTCCTTGGTAAGGGAAACGAGTTTATTTTTAGGAAGAAAAATCATGGCTTTTGGTTTCTTCACTTTTATTTGTAATGCGTTGTTGACTCCACGTTTCTAACCTAGACAGTGCCAGATTTGTCATATCGAATAACAGATCAGTATTATCTCCAGAAAACAGTATACTCCTGTCATCAGCATAGTTTACAAATTTTCCGCTTCCATTAATATTGACTATATCAATCACGTATATGTTCAAAAGGAGGGGGCACAATATATTACCCTGTGGTACACCAGAAAGAATAGGTTTTATAGCGAAGGAATTTCCATTGATATAAACATACTGCGTTCGGTGCTCCAGATAAGATCTTATCAGCTGTAAAGCCTGCCCTCGAATTCCATAGTTATCTAATTTCGATAGTAAAATTTAATGATTGATGCAGTCAAACGCTTTGGTATAATCTATGAAGATGCTAAGAACCACATTTTGGTTTTCAAAGCTTCGTAAAATAAATTATTTTAGAACAATTAAGGCAGATTCAGTCGACTTGTGTTTTATAAATCCATACTGTGATGCAGTTATCAAATTATACTTATTTGAAAATTTAGTAAAACACGTATGAACTTTTTCGAGCGCCTTGGAAATTGGCCTGTAGTTTCCCATTTCATTTACATTTCCTTTTTTTATGCGATACGGAAACCTTGGCAATTTGCATTCGCGTAGGAAAAGCTCCGGTGGATAAAGAAATATTAAATATATGAGTTATTACAGGTGCTAACAGGTGAATAACATGCTTTACATGTCTTATCTGGATGCCATCTACATTAGTCACAGCTGCAACTATTTTTAAGATGGAGAAACACGCTTATAACCTCTGGTTCGACGACTGGATGTAAAAATATCGAGTCACTGTTTCTTTTATCATTTAAAACCAAAGGAGTTTAGGTTTCAATAGTATCCAGAATATTTACAAATTTTTGTTAAAAGCGTTTGCCAGTGAACGCCCAGTAAGTTCAGTACCATTGTGCAGAGTTTTTGCGACTGAACTGAAGGGGCGATTGCGATAAAGATGATAATTTAGTTGCTTCCACATGTCAGTGCGTCCTTTTGCGGCCTTGAACATATCAAAATGATAACGCGCTCTTGTGCGCTTTAGTTCTTTTGTTAGGACGTTGCGATAGTGTTTAAATATGTTAAGGCCCTTCTGGTCATTAGATTTTATTAATTCACCATATAAAAGTTTTTATCTAATTTCACAGAGCAAATCTCTCGTTATGCAAGGCTTTTTTGTGTGCTTGTTTGTTTTTATAGAAGTTAAAGGAAAATGTGCCTTATACAGTCTAAGAAATAACTCAATAAAAGGGTTACAAGCCCCGTCAGCACTTTCTTCACACAGTACACTGCTCCAATTTGTATTTGAAACAGCGCTCTGAAAAGCGTTGAGTCAATCTAAAGTTGTTTTGTGTACTAAAGTCCGCTCTGTCCTGCAAGTTTTCTTCGGGATAATTTTGAGAGAAATAAATATTGGGATGTGGTCACCCAGATCACAAGCAATGACGCCAGTTTTTATAAAATTCGTTCGAGCTGTTCGAAATGAACAACTTCAATTAATGTTTCAGAATGGAGAGTAACCCGTGTAGGTCTATTAATTACATTTGCACAACTATTTGTACTCATTAGCGAGTCTAATTTTTTTTTTTAGCAACGGCTTCTGCGCTCAAATCAACGGTAAAGTTTCCACTGCAAATCACAGTACAGTTTTCTTCATTAACAAAAACCAAAAAAGACTCGAAATTTTTTTTAAATGATTCAATGTTGCCGTTTGGTGGTCGGTACACCACAGCAAAGATATTCTGGTTATTGCGTATACACATCATTTTTTAATCTTGATTGATGCAACCATAATCACCTACTAGCTCACCAGAAACACTTTTTGTCAAAATTGCTAAGCCACCACCGTGTTTCTCTTAACGATTTATGTAAAAAGAGCTATATGTAGGAAGTTTTAGTACATCAGTCTCTTTAGTGTACCATGTTTCTGTAAGCATGATTACGTCGAAAGAAAAACCGAATTGATCGAAAAGTAGCTCAAGATCTACAGCTTTGCTTTTCACTGACCGAACATCTAAATGGAGACAGGTCATGTGTGAAATCTAATCTGCACCAAAAGAGCTTATTAACTTTTGTGGTAGAACGAACGGGTCAATTGCTATAAAAAACAAAAAGAACAGGGGATATTATCGTTGACCGCCCTGAGATAGAAATTTGCGTATGAGATCTTGCAAAAATGCCCCTCTTTATCGTCGCGAAAGTGAGTTTTGAAGATAACGCCGTCGCGATAACCGTACTTAGATTGTTTTTCTGCCACGCAGCAAGTAAACGTTCGGGTTTCTTATGCAAGAAGTAATAAAACAAAGGTTTAGTGCTAGTAGTTGTTATTTAATTGTTTTCAAGATCCCCTTCGTGCTCAGTTCGAATTGTCGGTGCGCCCTCTTGATTTCTTCACGTATGAACAACCTTCCTTGTGCCAAATCAACTTGTAGCTGAGGTACTTTGCCTTTGTTCTAACATCGTAGAACAACTACCTGCTTGACGCCGTCATGTTCTCTTGCAGATACACGTTGCCATCATCTGCTTCCGACCTCAACTTCGGCTTGTTTTGAAGCCATGCTTTCGCTCATTTCTGTTCACATAGCGC